GGGCTGGCTGGCATGTGGTGCTGGGGGATTGAACCGCAGTCCCTGTGCTTTGCCAAGCTTGTTCCAAGCAGGTGCTTTAGACCACTGAGCCATCTCACCAGCCCGAAGATGAGAAATTTAAAGTCAAACAAAGAGCCTATTATAAACGATTGATTAAAATAAATAACCCATTTCTTCTGGGAACAGTGGTACACACTGATAATCCCAGCACTCTTGGAAGCTGAGGGAGGAGGATTGCAAATTTGATCCTAGATTATGCAATTTGATGGCTTAGGGAGCTCAATCCTCAGTACCACAAACAAAACAAAATAAGCATTTGAAATCACATATTGGTATGAGAAATTATATTTTATTAATGTTACTGTATTGTTTTACTGTTCAGTGTGGAATGCATACCTTTTTTTTAGCTATTAAAAAGGTTCCCTTAGTATTTATGACTAGCAGTTTCTTTATAGCTAGGAAATATTACTAGGAAAATGTCAGTTTCCTAAATATTTTCCTTTTAAGCTGTATCACATTATGACATGGATTTTCTGTGGATGTTGTAAATAAAGCTGGCTAATAGCTATAAAAGGAAAGTTTTACATTGTGCCTCATTTATACTTGGGTTTGCCCTCTTCTCTTGTTATTCAAAAAGGCCATGGAGCATTGTGCATTAAAAACATCAGCTTTTCTTCTTTTATCATCATCTACTATCCTCCCATGTTATAGTTCAGTGCAAATAAATGGAACAAACATTAACTGTACCATATGTAACAATAATGGAGATTATAGTAAAAAAGTTTTAAAAATCATTGATAAATCACAGTTGTCCTTATGCTTGCTGTGTGCTATTTAGTGGACACTGTCCATGGCATAACGCCTTTTGCAGTGGTGCATATTAGTCTTCACATAAGTAATGAGGCCCGGAAAAATAGTGAATGCTTTTCCTGTACATCTTGAAGAATAAGCTAATTTTAGTCACTTCGTGGTCTCATGCTTTGCTACCTGTTATTATTAAAATCATTTTACTAAAATAAGGATATCACAGAAAACTTAATTTTTTAATATTTATAAGTTATGTATTTGGAAAATGAATGTATTTGAGCCTTATATGCTGAATGCTGTGCTCATTTTTTATGTGTATTTTAACTGACTGTACATTTCTATCTAGGTCACTTTTGAAATACACAAAGAAAACCTTGCCAGTCTGTTTAGGGAACAGCAGGGGAGAGTTGGTGAAGAGATAGGTCCATGTTCTTCAAGTTCAGTTCACGAAGTCACTGACATTGTCAGTGATGTGGATGCATCAGTGGGTTCCCAACAATCAGATACGAAGGATTCTTCTGTCTCTCATTTAATTAGAAACAGTGATGAAAACTCAAGTATTGGGAAGACGAGTTCCATAGACTGTACATCCAACACTGAACTGCAAATGCATAATACAGCTAATGAAGACAGACAAACAGTGCAAGAAAATGAGGAGTCACTAGATGAAGCCACTTTGGAAGAAACACAAACAAATGAAACAGAGAACATAGGAGACTTAGAAGCATCTTCTGAGTTGGTAGAGTCTGGGACTGTTGACTCTAATTCTTTAAAAATTGCCAGTAAAGACACAGTGACCATCAGTGAACTAACTGCTTCCATAAGTTCACCTTCTGAAGAGGATGCTGCAGAGATGCCAGAGTTACTTGAAAAGTCTGTAGGAGAAGAGGAAGAAGATGATTATGTAGAACTCAAGATGGAGAGCAGTCATACTGAGGTATCCACCTTGTCTACAGAGCTCCAAAGTAATGGTTTGTCTCCAGATGCTTCAGAGGCCAGTGAGAAACCAGACCTGTTTCTTGATGACCGTGAATTAATATGTCAAGAGGAAGAACCTGAAACAAAAAAGCACAGTGATAATGAAATTCAGGATTCTGAAGATTCTGGGCTCCTCACCATGGCAGTATCAGGATCTTCAGCTGCCTCACCTGAACCTGCTCTTTCCCAAACAACAGTACAGGCAGACAGTAGTCAGCTGCTGGAGGGCAGGAAGAAAAGTGCTTATCTTACTGGAGAAGCCAAATCAACTAGTGATTATCATGATAATGCCTCTGAGACCCCTGTTGCTTCTGAGCAAAAGATTGTCAGGTTGGATGTGTCCAATGTTGCTACAGATACTGAGAAGCTGGAACTAAAGGCCAGCACAAACATGGAGTCACCTCAGCCTCATAGACCTGCGCTTGAGGTAATTATGTATGTTGTCTTCTCTATGTATGTTTGTACTTACGTTTTATTTTGAATTTAGTTCCTGTCTTATTTGCAGTTACATAAATACAGTAAATGTAAAAATTCTATTGCAGATTGTTAGTACAGTATCTGCAGTAACTTTGAGTCTCTCTTACTTTGTCTCTCAGTGCTGAGGAGTGAACCCAGGGCCTTACACCTGCTATGTAAATGCTATACCACTGTTACTCCTCACTACAGTATGAGTTTATTAAGTGGCAGCTCTTATTATTTTCTTTTTACCATAGCATCAAAAAAAAAAAAAAAAAAGAACTTTTTCAAGCTTCAGGGTTGAGTAATTTAAGTCTATAAATCAAATATTGAAAACACTTGCATTTCACCCATTTGATAATGTAGTTATAGCATGATAGTTTTCCAATAAACTGTTGGGCAGCATGTGCTTTTAGTTGCAAAGCTCTTGGTTTCACTTGGCTCCTGAGACTTGTGCACAAAGAAGGAGTCTGTGTGTGACCTGGAGGCTCAGCCTCTCCTCTGCTGCACCTCAGGATGGTGCCTGAGACAATAGGGCTAGGGTAGAGTGACACCATTTTCTACTTTATCTTCTCTCCCTTCTTCCATTTCTTCCCTGGTGAGTTTGTTCTGCATTATGTTGTTTTTAGTTTGTTTTACATTCTTGCAAATTTATAATTCAGCCTGGATTATACATTTTATTTTGTGCTAAAATTCAAAACAAAGAATTGCTTGATTCCTTTATGAGATGGTATAGGGATAATACTTGATGTGACTTCAAGTTAATTACATTCTATTATGATCATTTTTAATAAGTATGTTTCGAAGTATTAAAATATTAATGTTATTACTCATCGTTTTTCTCTCTCTAATTTGGTTCTTTAGTGTCTTAAAATTTATGTATTTGTTATGTGAAATGCATAAAAACATTAGTTGCTTTACTAGTGCCTTTCTATGAAGTTGAATTTATTTTTATTACTTTTAATGTTTTCTGTATTAGGTGTCAAAGCAGCAGGAGCAGCCAGGGCAAGGAACAGCATCAGATGCATCTGATGGACAAAGGAGGGACTCCAGATCTGCTATGTTTCGTATTCCAGAGTTCAAGTGGTCTCAAATGCATCAACGTTTGCTTACTGATCTCTTATTTTCCATAGAAACAGATATACAGATGTGGAGAAGGTTTGTCCATATGTTTATTATAGCAGATATACATTTCTTGGTCTTTGTATTTATTTATTTATTTTTTTGGTCTTTGTTTTTAAAGAATACATACATTCATTTTCAGGGCTGGTGAGATAGCTCAGCAGGGGCCAGGGTTTGATCCCTGGCACCGCATGCTGTGCCAGCCCTGCCCCCGAGCATGCTGAGCTGGTGATGGAGTCTAGGCGTGGTGGCGCACGCCTGTAATCCCATCAATAGAGAGACTGAAAACAGGAGGATCACTGTAAGTCCTAGTTGTGTAGCGAGACCCTGCACACACACACACACACACACACACACGAATACACACATTTTCAATTAACTTCAGACTTTTTATTTTCATTTGATTGAAAAAGTAGAATATACATTAGTCTATAGAATGTTTGGTTGAATTAAAATTTCCTTTGTGTTGTAAGAATCCCTGTCTGGCTTACAAATACACAAAAATTAAGGCTTTCCTTTTTAATTGCATAAGGTTTCCTGTAGCATACTTTATGAGATGCAGTTTGCCAGAAGGTAGATCTAGCAAGTGAGAATATTAGTGAAAGTACTAAAAGATAGTTGAAATTTCAGTATGCCATTGCCCATGTCTGTGTATTTCAGATTATCTTCCATTTTTGATTTGTAATTTTGCAAGTGCCTTGTTTGTATGTGACTCTTACTCTGAAGTATGTTATGGTGTTACCTAATAAAATGTTAGTAGAAAATGCATTTTTAATGGAACATTTAACACCTCTTAATTATTGCTACTTAAAGATAATTTTATCCAACTTTTAATATTAGATCTGAGCAGTGCTTGTTTTCAGCACTAAAGAGGATCACAGATACTAATACTGATGTAGAATAATCCACTTCTCCTGAGAAAGTACACATTCCCAGTACTTACTACAACATTATCTTTCCTCAGTTTTCAGGATGAATCAAAAGTACTTTCTTGTCCTCCCTACCCTCAGAAAGGCAAACTGTGATTTCCTTTCCTTAGCAGTATCAGTAAACATGATTTATCTTTGGACAGCCATTCAACAAAGACAGTTATGGACTTCGTGAATAGCAGCGATAATGTCATCTTTGTACACAACACGATTCATCTCATCTCTCAAGTGATGGACAATATGGTCATGGCTTGTGGGGGGATACTGCCATTGCTTTCAGCTGCGACATCGGCTACAGTAAGGACTTAAATGCTATGTATAATTGGTGGGAAAACATGTGTTATGCATCCTTACTGATTAAGACCATAAGTGTAATCACTAGTCTGCACATTGTGGCTACAGATTAGAAGCAACGGAATCTTTTACAATTACTTGAAAGAATTATAGAACCTGTTTTTAGAATGAAGACTAAAAATGTTGATTTCTTAGGCATGAGTCATTTTAGGAGGAATATGATTCATGGTGTTTCATCTGAATGTTCCCATTGCCCTTACTTTTTAGATAAAGTAAATAAATCACTGCATTGTATTAGCTGTCTGAAAGCCAGACTTTTTTTGATACTCAGAAATTTGAGGAATATATTTGGTAAAATTATATTTTTATCAGACTAAGTATCAAACTTTATTCTTTGCAGCACGAGCTGGAGAATATCGAACCTACTCAAGGTCTTTCAGTAGAAGCCTCTGTGACATTTTTGCAGAGGTTGATTAGCCTTGTGGATGTGCTTATATTTGCAAGTTCTCTTGGCTTTACTGAAATTGAAGCTGAAAAAAATATGTCATCTGGAGGAATTTTACGACAGTGTCTCCGACTGGGTGAGCTGTTTAGAATCCTTAGTTCAGGAATATTAGGAATTTAACATCTTCGGTGACCCAAATATTAAATTGAAAATGGTTTTTCTTCTTTTGGAGAAAGATTGTGTGCTGCCCTGGTTGTTGCGTGTGTTAAGTATGTTTTAGTGTCCTATGCATAGTAGTAGTTAATAAGTTGGGGCATGGCGAGGAGGGAATTGCAAAACTGCTAATGTGATTCTGGCCATCCTGCATTTTCCTTTTTCCTCAGTCTCTTTTTGCTCTTAAGTAGTCTTTCTCAGTTTTTGTGATTCATCCAAGGGTCTAGTTCAAATTTATACTGGATTATATATGTCAGAGGAGAGATGTAACCTTGTCTCTCAAGTCCCCGGTGTTGCTGATTCCTTTTGTCTGACACACATTAGTGCCAAGGTTCTAAACTGCATCATTCAGATATAGCCTTTACTCAAATGCAAGTAGTGTTTTAAAGCAATTAATAGAGCCATAATATTTCTGCTCTTTTGGAAGCAGTTTTTGGGTAAAAGTAAATATATACAAAAAGACTTTTAAGTGTTAACTACACTTTCTTAGGTGAAGGAAAAAACTTTTTCCTTTGCAAAAGTTCTCTCTAGCTATACTACTGAGACTTTTTTAAGAGACTTGTTATATGGAGAGTAGATGGTTGGGGAGGGGTTTCAAGAAATAGAAACACTTAGGAACCATGACCCTTGTGGAGATGGATCAGAAATAAGGCACCTATGAAAATATAACAATAGCCAAAAAACCAGTTATTTGAAAAATTTGAAATAATATTTCCCCATTTTTAGTATCTATTTCACCAGCTAATAAATACTTGTCTTCTGCCTTCTTTATAGAACCAATACTTTATTTTTATTTTTTTGGTGGTTCCAGGGATCAAATTCAGGATAGTGCGCTTGCTTGCCAGGCAAGCACTTATTCCACTGAGCTCTCTCCCTGGTTCTAGAAGTAGTACTTTCACTTAATATGCTATTCAAAGTACTTTAGGGTTAAGATACTTTAGAGAAGTTGACATCACACTTTATAGAAGTTATTTAAAAATTTTAATTAAGAAAGATTCAAATGGGCAAACATTACAAAATGCAGGCTATCATTTATTGGCTGTCATCTTTATTGTTAATTTTCACATTAGTTGGCAATCTGAGGAAATTAAAGACCAGAGAAGCTAGGAAACTCATCTAAAATTTGAAAACTGTAGTTGGTGATGTTGGAATTTGAATATATTTCTTAATAGTATTCCTATTCTTTCTATTGTAGAATGCTTCTTTAAACTTTCAGTTTAGTAACATAATTAAAATATTTAAATTAATTGCTTTGTTATATACCTTTAAAAAAACTTTTTCACTTTCTTAAAAGCATTAGTTCAGAAATTGTCCTCATTTTTATAGCTGTAGAAAAGACTTATAAGATAATACAGCCACTTTCTTACGACACCTGAGAACTGTGTGTGAGTAAGTGAGACCCAGAGAGTGACTTGTCCAGGGTCGCTTGATCATGTGGAATAAGCCAGGGAAGTGATCCAAATGCTTTCATCTTGGGTCTTCCCACTCCCTTGTTTCCTGAGGTTGGTGAAGAGAAGGTAAGGTGGCCACAGTAAAAAAACCTGTACTACTGAAGCTAGCTGACAGTAGGAAGTCTGGTGGGGTTTTTAGCCTTTTTTTTTTGAGACAGGGTTTTGCTATGCAATTCAGGCTGGCCTTGAGCTCATTGTGTAGCCCATTCTGTCCTCGAACTTTTGGCAGTCTTCCTGCCTCTCCCTCCTGAGTGCTGGGATTACAGTGTGTGCCACCACACCTGCTGTTGCTTTTTAACTTTATAATAAAGACCCAAATTTGATTTTATGCAGTTTATGACAATATTAATACAAAAGTTATATTCCAAATAACATACCAAATTTGAGAAAATCATGTTCTATATTCTCCTTCCCTGTTCCTCTCTTCTATTTTTTCAATTTCTGTTGCTCTCTTTTGTTATTTTTATTTTTGTTTCTAAGCTAGGGTGTTACATCCCCTAGTTCTATGGTACACTGGTGGTTCTTGGCCTTCCCCACTTATGGCTGCTGTTTTATCCAAAATTTGCTCTCCTACCCTTCATTGTTAAATATTTGGCACTATAGATTTGGCTGGAAACCGAGATGAATATGTAGTATCATGCAATTCATAATCTATTGTGCATGGCCAGTTTGTCATTTAGAATTCACAGTTAACTTCTAAATATCCTGAGGAACTACCTGTTTGGTGGAGGCTTTAGAGAGGAAATTATGGAGTATATATCAATCAAATTTTCTTTGCTGTTCCCCACTTTGTAAGCAAGTTGAATGAAAGCCAGTAAATGCTAGATCTAGAGCTTCCTATATATCCTGTATGCCCTCAGTTTCTATTACTGTCAAGCTGTATGATGCAGTGTAAGAAAAGCATGAACGTTTTCAACTATTTTACATCAGTGAAGGTAATGGAAGATTCTTATCCTGGACTATTTCGTAGTGATGTGATTTGCTCTCTATTTTCTTCTATTCTTCTCTAAATTCTTTTCCTTATTATCTTTTTCTTAATAAAAAGTTGACCTAGCCAACCTGTGTGAGATCTGTGAAACAGCTAAGATTCCTGAACTGAGCTGGGATGTAGCTTAGTGGTAAAGTAGTTACCTAGTGTATGCAGAGAATGGGTTCAGTCCTCAGTATTAAACCTCCACCACTAAAAAGGCAAAATTCTTAAACCCCTTTAGCAGATTCTAAAAGTGTAAACCACTGGGCTATCCCACTTTTCTAGTTCTTAACTGGATCATAAAAGAGGTCAGAACTAGACAACCTACCCTACGTGATAGTCATGGGTCATTTTAGGAATTAGCCACCAGTAATCTGTTTTAAGCAGAATGTTATGTGAATTGTATTGTGTAGGTGGTTTATGTCTATTCTGAAATCTTGAATATGCTTTTCTTTACCGCTGTTTTCCCTCCCGTGCTGGACAGTGTGTGCAGTGGCAGTGAGGAACTGCTTAGAGTGTCAGCAGCATTCACAGCTGCAAGCCCGAGGTGATGCGGCAAAAGGCCTGAAAACAGCACACAGCCTGCTTCCTGGAGTGAGATCTGCAGCAAAGGTGGGCACATCAGGCTCCAGGAAAGCGTACTCACATGTCACAATGAAGGTCTCAAATTAATATGTTCATTTCAACATAAAGTTGAATAAATCTGACAGATAGCCTAAAATAGTTACTTTAGTATGTGAACATAATATTTAAATGTTTGTACTTAAATATACAGTAAAGATTAACTTGTAGTTAATCTTGTCTGCTTTTCCAAATGTTTACTTTTCTTGTTTCTGTGATACCTTTTCCTTCATATGTCAGTTTTTTCCCCACAAAACTCCCTCTATACTCACTGAGCCTCCCCCCAAAGAAGAAAAAAGTTTGGACAAACACTGGCAAAGGGAACGTTATAGCATGAATTTCTGTTTAGTGGACTATTTTTTTCCCCCATAATTTTATTGAGAAACAAATAGCAATGAGACAGTTTCAAAACAAATTGTTTAGTGGACTATTATGTGTATTTCTAAAATAATCTGTGATACAGTTATTTATTTGTTTCATTTTAGAGTCCAGTGGATATTGTGACAGGTGGCTTATCTCCAGTAAGAGACCTTGACAGACTTTTGCAAGACATGGACATCAACCGCCTGAGGGCTGTTGTTTTCAGAGACATTGTAAGTTAACATATTTCTTTTAAGCACTCTGTTAGCTGGTACCTGTTTCCTCCCTGGTCTGGAGCACTGAAAGCAAAGGATCTTTGTAATATGTGAGTTTAGCGGGAATACGAAGGCCTAGATAGCAGTTCTTTTGAAAGTAATTTTAGACTCTTAGCATATTGGAAAGGATTAGTGTACAAATGGAGTTAGTGATGCTACTCCATTTAGTGACATGTCCTTGTGACAATACCCTAATATTATACAGTAAGCACTTCCAGGCTTTGTACATAGTTGGTAAGTCCAACAAATTCTTGAGTTGTGTATATTTGGTAGATAAGAAAATCTATGGCTTAGGGAGTGTGAATACATTGTTCAAGCTAACATTGCTAGTACATGACAGCCAGTATTCAAACCCAGTAGGCTTACCTCCAGAATCTTTACTGTGAATGTAATAAAATGGTAAGTTTCTTAACACTTCTGTTATTAAATATTAGATTTTTTTTCCCTCACAATTATGTTAAAGTTGCAAAGAAGTACAGATGGAATGCTGCTTTCTTTCAGTGTAGTGTTTTCATTTTTAAAGTTAAAAATAGTTTTGTTTTGGGCCAGCCAGATAGCTCAGTGGATTAAAGTGCCTGCTTAGGCAGACGTAGGGGTCAGAGGTTTGATCCCAGCTTGTCGTGCCAGCCCCACCCCCAGGGTGTGCTGAGATGGTGACAGATTGGGTGTGGTATTGTGTGCCTGTAATCCCAGCACTTGGGAAGCTGAAAGCAGGAGAATCACTACAAGTCCAATCTGTGTAGTGATACCCTGTAGATCCTGTAGACTCTGCACTAAATACAAAAAACAAAAGTGTTAATTTATTTTGATATAGAATGCAGCTGATGTTGAAAATTTAGAACTGTGTTAAGAAGTATAAAGAGGAAAATAAAAATCATGGTTATCTTTTGTATTTATTGACCATTTAGTTGTGTTTAGTGCTGGATACTCTAAATATATGTTGCATATATATTTCCTATGTACTTTATAAATTCACTTCTTCTTTTCTATTTCTGTAGTATTTTTGTCCTCTCTTGTGTTCTTCTCTAGGTCTTTTATACAAGTATTGAATTTGAGATATTATCACTGCTTAGTTGTTACCGCACACTAGATGATCTTTGTCTAACATCTCATTTAATTCTTGTATTTACCCTCTGAGGATTTACATCTAAGCAATAAGAGATTTCATTTTGTTTTTAAGATCACATAATTTTTAAGAGGTAAAAATGAGGTATCTAGGGAATGAGATGGAATAAATAAGGATTTAGTGAGGCATATATGACTAATTTTGGCATTAAGACCAAGTGATTTGCCTACATTTTTTAATAGTGATTATTAGCAGTTTTAAAACATGGCAGAGTTGTGTGGTATAGCAGTGCATTCATGTCTGCAGAAAATGAATCATTAGTAAAAGAGGAAAAGTAGATATTTATGTTTTCAACTAAAATCAAGAAATTACATGGACTTACAAAAGACTATAAATTTTGTCAGATTACAAATTTGTCTAAAAATTATCTCAAATGATATATTAAGAGAGCCTGATAAAATATCAGAGGCTGAGGCCAGGGAGATGGCTCAGTAGAATAAGTGCTTGCCTGGCAAGTGCAGAGCCTGAGTTCAAGCCCTGGTTCGGGGGGCGGGGGGGAATCAGAGGCTGATTTTTTTTTTTTTCTGAAATGGATGTTATCTTAAATCTTTGACATGAGTTAACTACCATTAACTTTTAATCTTACTTGTGTCATTAATTTTTATCTTTTGTGTGTGTGTGTTTAGTACAGGGTTTGTACAGGGTTTACAAGGTCTCACTATGTAGATCGGACTTCTAGTGATCCTCCTTTTTTAAGCCTCCCAAGTGCTGGGATTATAGGCGTGTGCCACCATGCGCAGTCTCAATCTCCATCTCACCGTGCCCCGGGGGTGGGGCTGGCACGGCATGCTGGCGACCAACCCCCAGTTGCTGAGCCAGCGTAAGCAGGTGCTTTAGTCTGCTGAGCTATGTGTCTGGCCCTAGTTTTCATCTTTCTTGCCAGGCAACAAAATTTAGAGCCTTGCCATGTTTTGCAGGTTCTTCTTTATCATTAGGCTACAACCCCTAATTCTGTTTTCGTATTGTAAACTTCCTACTGCTTCAGTTGCCTTTAGTTTTCAGGAGTTGATAGACAAATTTGGATTTTTTCATTTATATCATTTAAACTCAGGCCCATTTTGAAAGTTATGAGAACAACGATGTGTGTAGAGGATTGAATGAGTTTTAGGGGTCATTGATACCCCTGGGTGATGTGGAGAACCAGGGTAGCCTGCCTCTCCTGTAGTCAGTGCCCTTTTCCTCATGAAGACTATTACTACAGTCCTTCACTGAGCACTAACTGCACTACTTCAAATATTCTTTTTTTTTTTTTTAACCCCAAATATTCTTAAGAATTCCTTTAGCATTTTGTTTTGTATCTCACAGTTTCATTTTGTTCTCCTGGATATTTTTTTTTTTGAAGCACAACTGTAACTGTGATGTTTTATATGTTTTAATTTTTACAATTAGAAGTAAAAATAATCGGTTATTCTTATGGAGTTATAATTACTATTTATTTGAATAATCTTGTAAATTGTATAATGGTACATTGCATCTGATTGAGTTAAATTTTTTTGTTAAAGACAAGGTCTGACTATGCTGTTCAGGTTGGCTCTACATTCACTCTGTAGCCCAGGCTGGCTTTGAACTCACGGTAATCCTCCTACTGAGTTGGCCTGTTGAGTACTGGGATTACAGATGTGCATCCCCATGCCCAGCTGAATTCCTTCACTTTTACATATGAGCCAGGTTTTCTTTTTTCATGTTTTGTGAATAGTAAAATCTCTAACTGAAATGGTTCCTCCCCTTTTTTCCCTAGCAGTTTATCTGTTTGCTCAGGTGAACTTGCTAAAAAATTTGTTCATTTATTATATGAATAAAAATGTATTATTTTCTGTGTATATCAAGAGGTCTATGAATATTTCATATTTCCATGTTGTTAGGTGAAGTAAAATTAAAACATTGTTTTGTCATTTTTATGTTGCTGGGACAAAATTCCTGATACCCATATTGGTTGCATAGTTGAATTTTTATTCGGGATTTGCTTGAAGGAGGAGAGATTTATTTTGGTGCATGGTTACAGCCCAGGGCTGGTTGGCTTCAGAGCAGGAAATGGATGGGAGAGAGGGCTAGTAGAGAAAATGTGCTCAGTTCCTGGGATCCAGGAAGCAGGCAGAGAGGGCAGGAAGCTGAGTCAAGGATGAATCTTTGCAGCTTGTATCCTGTGACCTATCTTCAAACCTGGCCTTCCTAAAAGCAGGCCACCCACAGCCTCCCTGTGATCAGCCACTCCTCACAACAATAACTGTGAACATGTGGGTGTTTGTGGGCATTTGCATCTAGACTCTCATATCTTTTAGTAACAACAACAACAACAAAAAATCACTTTTGTTTCTTTACAGGAGGACAGCAAACAGGCTCAGTTCTTAGCCTTGGCTGTTGTATACTTTATCTCTGTTCTTATGGTCTCCAAGTATAGAGACATTTTAGAACCCCAGAATGAGAGGTGTAGCCCTTCACTGAAAGAAACTGGTACTGAAAATGGGAATGTCTCACTCTCTGGTAAGTGTTCCTTTTCTATTTCTTGATGCCCAAAGTTCATGTAAAACTTTAGCCGGTAAATATATAGATTGTGGAATTTAAATTCTTTTATGTATAAGGTGAGAGCTAATATTTTTTTTTCTTTTCAAAGTTTTATTGATAAACATATAGCAATGAGACAGTTTCAAATCAAATCGAAACTACAGTTTCAACAAATAATGCACTGCATATATTCTTCTTAGTGGTTAATTGCTGTACAAGATGCAGACTTGTGATCCTACTTACAAAC